GCACCTCGCTGACCACGCACACGGCCACGTAGAGCACCAGCCTGGTCTCCGGGTTGTACGACTTGCAGAGCCTGATCACCTCGGCGTACAGCTCTACGCCCATCTCGCTGGCGAGCAGGTCCGACCACCTCACGTAGGTCGGCTCGCCCAGGTCCACGAAACCGTTCGCGATGAACTTCTCCGCTGACTCCGGGCTCGAGAAGAAGCACTTGACTGCCCCGCGGCCGTGGGACGCGTACCCCGCGCCGCGCCAACGCCGAGATGTGCTTCAGACTGATCGGATCCTCCTTCGCTGACGACAGCACCTGCTTGCACAAGCTGCCCGCCCGTGAGTGCAGGCAGGTCTTCCGGTGTCGCTGCCAGTGGGCCCTCCTGCACTCTCGCGAGCAGTACAGGCAGGTGCAGTTGTGGCAACTCTTGTAGCTCTTCCGAGCCTCGGCCAGGGTCGCCGTGTTGCTGCACTTGTTGTTGCGACAGCGCACCATCTTCTCCATGGCGTTACCGCTCATCAAACCGTTCGACTCTTGGTTGTCGAACGATACCTTGGTTGTCGAACGATACTCTCCGGTGACGTAACGGACCACCCCGTGACTGCATCGCCCCCGTTTTCGAGGGTATAGCGTCGCTGCCCTCGCTCTTTCGTCGCACCAACTCGCCAACGTAGTACGAGCTGCGCTCCTCCGACGAGGCTCCTTGCACGTCCATCACGCTTCTAGCGGACTCTGCGACATTTGCCAAGTTTACCGACAGTCAGTACGCGATCGTGCCAATTGGGAATTCGTGTGGCTGGTCTCGGCTGTACCTGTTTTGTCTGACGGTCTTTTTCTCTATGAGACTATTGTGGAAATGGTCAGACAATTTCTAAATCGTTTCGATAACGTAAACGTTTAGAACAGAGGTACAACCGAGCTTTAGAGGTGCTGATTATCGATATCTTATTGATATTTTATGATATCATGCATAGCGTTGAAATATCAGACCGGGGTAGAATGTTAAGCATAATTTTAATAAACGTGTTATGTTATAGGATATGTTATAGGATATATATAGGTTAACTTAGGAGGGAGTAGGTTGGGGTCCAGTTAAATTGGGTTCAGTTGGACAAGGTTTCAAATCTGTCGTACCCCAAATTGGACTCGTTAAAATTACGCGTTACATTCTACACTTTAACGACAACTATCGATAAAATTTCGATATCCATCGATAACAGCAGCTCTACCGAGCGTATCGAAGCATAGTGGAGCGTGAGAATGTAAGCGACATCGTGTGTATGAAAATGAAAATGATAATACCCGTGGACCTCGTGATCGCAGTGTTGTTAAGTCGATTAGATGCCTGATCGATTATCGTGAACCACACACGTACGGTATATGCATGAACGATAGATAGAGAAATAGATAGAGAGAGAGGAAACGGATGTGTCCGTTGACGATAGATCAGCCTCCCGTGGGTGCCTTTAAAGAAGCTTTCGGTCGTGCGAAAAATGGAACTGCAAACGAACTGGACAAGAAACGACAGAAACAAAGTGAAAAAGAAAGTCTTAGAGAGAAGTTGGCTGAAAAAAAAAAGAAAAACAAAAGAACAAGGTCTTACGAATTTCGCATATTTTGCGTTAGAACGATTTCGCGTCTTCGGCGGTCGTGGTGGTTAATCGTAATTAGCTCCGGCTAGGCTCCCAGATCGGCTTTATTCGGCACGTCTCTGATCTGATTAGTCTGTGGCATCGAGAGACGTCTGAATTCAGGGGAAACGAGACGCTACGTCTCCTCCCTGAACTTTAGACGCCGTTTCGTCTCTGCAAAGGTGTAAAATAACGTAAATGGAAACGATACGTGCAAGATGGTCGCGTTTTCTTCCTCGACCGACCGCATTTTTCAGCTCTTTTATAGTCGTCCGATTCGTGCTCGATTATGAGTCTCACGGATATTCGAACGCTGATTCTACGATGCGACAGTAACGATTATGGTACTGTCGCATCGTGTTTTAGGACGGTGCTAACGTTTCTGAGCTCTGTTGACGAAATAGTTTGAAGTGTCACGTAAAGAACTTGTGGAAATTTGTGCAAGAATATTTGAGAAATCAGTAATGTTGTAAAAAATGCAGTGAGCTAAACTATAATATATAACATACTAAACAAAATTGATAAGAACAAAAGTCTAAATGTGTTCATTTAACTACACTTTGTCATATCTCTTTATTACAAAAAATGTGTGTGTCAGGCTTTGACAAACTTTTCCTTAAATTAAAATGATAAGATTTAAACTAGATTATCTTAGTAGTAAGTCTATTGTTTAATATGTCAGTAAAGTGAGATTATTTAAAAAAAGAAATAAGTAATTATGCTTCAAAATAATTTTTGAAATAAATTTAAGTGTCGAGGTATATAAGTAATATACTTAAAAAAATATAAAATTAAAATATTTTTGTGAAGATTTGAAACGCGAACACCGTCTGTTAAATGATAGAGAACTGAAAGGTAGAAACGAATATATACATACAAAATAGAAAGAGAAATAGAGAAAGTTAGGGATGGTATGTGACTGAGGGGTGAGTGGCGACGAGGCGAAGAGAAACGCAAGCGGGGCTTACATATCGAGATTGACATAGGCACACAGTGTGGTTTCACTACATAAATATTAACATATCAATTCTATAATAATAGAAACTGGCTTAATTGTAAGGAATTTTACTTAAAATTGTTATTAGAATAAATATTTAACCTAACTTAATCTAAATCTGTAATTTCTGTGTAAGTACTATATAGGACTATACAGTAATATATATTTTGTATCGTTCGGGAATCTGTCGGTAAAAATTAAAATTTGATCAGCGCCATCTAGCGGAATTTTCCCAAACCTCGCTCCTGGTAGCAGGATCGCAGGAAAGCGAGGAGGTATCCGGAGTAGCAGGAGGTAGCCGGAGTAGGTTTCCCGCGCAGCCGCGCGCATGCGCGGTACCACACCCCCGCTCCAACATGGCATCCAACATGGCGTCACAGCGTACACCAAATTAACGATATATTTATTTATTAATTATTCATTTTCTCAATACAATTTATACACATTTATCACTGAGAAATTAACTCCAGTCCTTTCCTAATATTCTCACATAAAATTCGTTAACAAAATCTCGTACTGAAATTATTCACCTTAATAATTATTAATGACTAACTGCTTTCAAGTAATATTTCAACAAATACTATACTAGAAAATAGATAAAAATACAGAAATTACTGTTCAGTCATAAAAGTGCATAGATAGTGCTTAGAAAATGTGTAATTAATTATTCTGCATCGTTAATTTGTTTCGTAATGGCGGACGCCATATTGGATGGCCGGCGGGGTCTGGCAGTACCGCGCATGCGCGCTGCTGCGCGGGAAACCTCTTGTTACTCCGGATACCTCCTCGCTTTCCTGCGATCCTGCTACCAGGAGCAAGGTTTGGGCAAATTCCGCTAGATGGCGCTGATCAAATTTTTAATTTTTACCGACATACTCTTCCTGAACGATACACAGTACTTATGTAGAAATTGCAAATCTAATACTGCAACTTCAAAACTTTCAAATTGACAAGTTTCCAAGTTCTTCATTTTTTTTATTCTTGTTTTTCATTCACAAATTAAATAAATCATAAATTTAGAAATTTAAAATTCAATTAATTTTATAATTGAACAATTTCATTATGTGAATGTTTTAAACTGTATACATCTACAGACATAGTTATATAAAATCTTCTAACTTTAAATAAAAAAAGACTACAAATTTTGAATTGTTAATTAAAAAGTCTGTCAAAGTAATCTATAACCTCGATTATCCATCACTGACCCAATATACAGCCGAAACTTTTTTACTCAAACAAAACTGTGCCCACGTCTCTGCCTTTCATCATCAGTACCGATCTTTCAGTACCGATCTTGTGCTATCGAAAATCAAAATTTACATAAAAAGTTTGGTGAAAACCACACTGTGTTCGTGCACACGACACGAATACGCACATACACCCGTATGGATACATACAAATTTGTCGGAGGGATGTAGATTGGTTTGATTGAGCTCTCTCGAGTCCCTCGAGAGGATCTGCCTCAGAACGAAAACTTACATAGTCCTCCTACCTTGGAGGTCTTGGCGTAGGTCGCTGCAGCTCTTCCCGGCTTTCGCATTAGCCTGGCCGACGTTAGTTCGATGGCGCATGGTGGCGGACGTGCCGGTTACGACGGGACCTGGCCCAGGACTCGGGGTACGCGACGCGGATGGCAGCCCAAGGAGGGAGTCAAGGACGTCCTCCAAGGTGGTGGAACCGGGACTCGGTTTGTTCCGCAGAAGAGCTGCCGTCGCCATCGCCTCGTCCGTATCGCTCTGGCCCGATCCTAATCGGTTTCATGCAGGGGTCAAGAAAGAGACAGAGACGTCCGGTGTCGTCTTGTCACAGACAAGACATCGTCCTCTTCAATCGTCTCCAGTGTCCGTCATATCATACATTGTCTGTTTCGTCTTTCACCCTTTTGTTATCACGATTAGTACTATCATCTTGTTAGTTACACAAAATTAATTATGCTGACAAAATTTTATACACGTTTTGTTAAATGGGGAACAGTACTAACCGTGATAGGTGGGGCTGGTCTTCGGGGTCTTTGAAATCGTCCTACAGTGTTCGGTGGTCGTGTTTGGTGTTTGCTTTTGGTATACTCTTAACCCTTTAAGTGCCATATGTGACATATGTAGAGACTATGGACATCTTTGCAGTAAAGTAAATTTGAATCGGTTGCTAATGTGCAGAGATGAATTTGCTAACAATATAGGAGTATAGCTATATGAAGATATAGCAGTCACTTAATTCTCTAGTAGGAGTTAGTGCTCTTATAGAATTCTCAAGACACGACTCAATTCACTTCATAGGTAGACAATAAATGAATATCTGCAAGTTTATCTTGCACTAATAATGCATAACAAATTAAGTGATGATTGACAAATTAATTTTGTGGACTTTATATTTCAAATGCAGGAATCTTCATCTTCTGACAAGATCCACTTACACAGTTATGAAAGTAGAGAATTATCGAGTTGTTACTCTATCACCCTGTGGTGGTACCACTTCTCTAAACCTTATTTATCCTTTCCCTTAACCCTATTAAATTTGTATATTTTTTATATAATATTATGTATGAATCTTCATCTTCAAGATCCATCTATACAATCATGAAAGTAAAGAATTATTGTGTCGTTACTGTATCACCCTGTGGTGGTACCACTTCTCTAAACCTTATTTATCCTTTCCCTTAACCCTATTAAATTTGTATATTTTTTATATAATATTATGTATGAATCTTCATCTTCAAGATCCATCTATACAATCATGAAAGTAGAGAATTATTGAGTCGTCACTGTATTACCTTGTGGTGGCACCACTTCTCTAAACCTTATTTATCCTTTCCCTTAACCCTATTAAATTTGTATATTTTTTATATAATATTATGTATGAATCTTCATCTTCAAGATCCACCTATACAATCATGAAAGCAGAGAATTATTGAGTTGTTACTGTATCACCCTGTGGTGGTACCACTTCTCTAAACCTTATTTATCCTTTCCCTTAACCCTATTAAATTTGTATATTTTTTATATAATATTATGTATGAATCTTCATCTTCAAGATCCATCTATACAATCATGAAAGTAAAGAATTATTGTGTCGTTACTGTATCACCCTGTGGTGGTACCACTTCTCTAAACCTTATTTATCCTTTCCCTTAACCCTATTAAATTTGTATATTTTTTATATAATATTATGCATGAATCTTCATCTTCAAGATCCATCTATACAATCATGAAAGTAGAGAATTATTGAGTCGTCACTGTACTACCTTGTGGTGCTACCACTTCTCTAAACTACTTCTCTAAACTTCTATTTACCCATTTCCTTAACCCTATTAAATTTGTATATTTCCCATAAAATATTATCTATAAATCTCCATCTTCTCCCATCATTATTTACTAAAATAACTCCAACAAGCATTAATGTCTGACTAAACTCTTTAAACATCTCGAAATTTAAAGAAAGTTGACAACACGAAGTAACAATTATTTAATGAAGTATTCAAACAGTTTGTATACTCTTGTAATAATATTAACTTTGCTGGATTGTGACTAGGTCAAATATTTAAAGTTTGTCTTTTCACTTTTAAGATTGGATTTCATCTACTTTAAACTCCACCATTCCGGACTGCTGTTTTAAAGCACCGGTGCTGAAAGTGCTGAGCATTTTACTCAAGGTTCATTTTACGACGACCTGTGACTTTCTGAGCTATTAAAGTAGATTTCATTTAGTGATCGCTTTCTATTAGTTTATTTCATTTGACTTTTATGCGTTTGATTGGATTTTTCTGAATTAGTATTTCCTTTGTAACGTTTCATCTCTGCACATTGATGTAACTCTTAATTTGTTTGTTCATCCAATATGTAATGGTTATATTTCTGCAGATACTTTGCTGTGTGAACTCAGTTGATTTGGTTGATTTTGTTTAATTTTGCGAGTTTGAATAATTATTCGAAATTTCTTATTCTCAAAAATTAAGCAGAAGAGTCACAGTAGAATAAAGCTACTTTATTTAGCCAGAACGACTCTTCATTTTCTAAAAGTTAGAAAACTATAAGAAACCAAGTATGTACATGTCAAGGTAGAGCTGATTAATTTTAATTTCGTAAAATGCATTCTGTAAGATGACAATGCAATTTGCAATTTACGTGAAAAACACAGCAGATTTAAAAGTTTAATATAATAATAGTTTGTAAACAATTACGCAAGTATATATTTATTTACCACTCATTTTTTATCGTGGAAGAATTAAAAGAATTATCGAAGGCACGTACCTCTTGACAATTTAAATGAAAAGTTTATTTAAAAAATTTTTGGTTATTCTTTTTAACACATTGACTATTACAGTGCTTAACAATCATTATATAACAGTAATCATTATAATTTCAATAAATTTTTAAGTTTCAATATTTTACAATAATTTATATTTTAATTTCTTTAAATTCATTTCAGTGTTCTTTAATTTTAATTGAACATAAACCTTGTAAAAATTACTGTAATATTAATATCATTTAAAATTTCATTTTTTTTCATGGTGTTAATACTGGGTGTATAAATTTTTAATTTTCAATTACAAGAATTATTAAAAATTTTAATAAACATGTACATCCATTAGGATATAAAATATTGCATGCTATTTTAGTTTCCTATATTCATTCATTTTTTAAATTTGAAGTTAGTCATTGTAGTATTAAAAACATGACACTGATCACACTCAGCAGTCAATGTGTTAATCAATCGGTTAATCAATTACTCTATACACTAACTAAACAATTATGTACAAGTTACCAATTTTATACTACACTACTTCAATTTAACCCAAGTTCATACAATCTCTTAAAGAACACAAACAGTAAATGAACATGTACTTACATAAATGTTTAAACGTTTCCAATATTCATAAATGCACAAATATATTCAATTTATAACAGCAACTTCAACAGTTCGAATTTATAGACATTTAAGGATGAACGTATACTTACATGAATTTTAAGAAACATATTATGTTCTCAAGAAGCAGGGGACTCGCACTTAAAGGGTCAATTTCGTTAAGGCCTAAGAACTAAGTGAAAAAGAAACGATAAGTAAAAAGTAAAAAGGATGGAAGAAAGAGGAGGGAAAGGTAACTAGAGACGCCCTCGATTTTTCTTCACCTCTCATCTACTTCTCTACGATAGTTCTACGTGTACAGTCTACTTGCACAGTCTACTACCGTACTACTATCAAACGCTAGCCTACTTCTAGCGAGCGCTTTCTCCCTCGTCGAGACTCACGAAAGCGCAAAATAAAACAAGAAACAGGAGAACGATGACTCCGAAAAAAAAAAAATATGAAAAGAAGAAGAAGGGTTTTTCTTTTGAACCCTTCCGTCCAGCCGACACAACCTCGTTCTCTGTCTGGCCGGAAGAAACAGCGAAAAAGAAGTTTATCGTTTCACGCTCTATTTCCGGCTGGAAAATATTACAGCAGCGACGCGTCGCAAATCACGAGGGGGAGGGCAAGGAAATACGAGAACAAGCAACGGGCTAAATAAGACCGTGAACGAAAAATAGAAAGAAAGAGAACGAAAGGCGAAAGCTATAGCGACGAAACAAATACAGCACTTACCGTGACGACACAAGCGGAACCGCGTCATCATCAACCAAAGTAATCGATATGCGCACACGTACACGTGTATGGATCATAATAATTCTCTACTACGGTTTATCCAATTCAGTGTCTTTGGAGGTGGAAAAAGGGGGAAGTTGCGAAGGTGGCTACAAAGGGGTAGTTCTCTTCATTAATCTTCAGATAAATTTATCAAAATGGATACTTTAAGAATTTACCTGAATAAGGTAACTGAACTTGATGTTTGTATTGAATATAAAATAAGCACTTGTAGTTGCATGTACTTGTATATTAACTGAACTTGATATTATTTTACTGAATATAAAGTAAGCACTTGTAGTTGCATGTACTTGTATATTAACTGAACTTGATATTATTTTACTGAATATAAAGTAAGCACTTGTAGTTGCATGTACTTGTATATAATAAATTAACTGAGCTTGATGTTATGTTACTGAACAAAAAGTAGCTACTTGTAGCTATATATACTTGCATATAAATTAACTGAACTTCATGTTACGCTACAGAATATAAAGTAATTACTTGTAGCCATATATACTTGTGTATAAATTAACTGAACTTCATGTTACGCTACAGAATATAAAGTAATTACTTGTACCTATATATATTTGTATATAAATTAACTGAACTTGATGTTACGCTACTGAGTATAAAGTAAATTACTTGTAGTTATATATACTTGTATATAAATTAACTGAACTTGATGTTACGCTACTGAGTATAAAGTAAATTACTTGTAGTTAAATATACTTGTATACAAATTATCTGAACTTGATGTTATATTACTGAATATAAAGTAGCTACTTGTCGTTACATGTGCTTGTATATGTCTCATATACTACATATACTTGTAGTTAAATATAAAGTGACATAACATACCATAACATACTTTGAGCATCTACTAAATTCTTATACATTTGTCAACAATTAATGCATTACTGTTTAATACATAAAAATACACAATCTACCCAACAACAAAAACATAATGAACTTCAGAAAAGTTTACAAGAAAACCTTACAGATTGAAAATTTACATGAATTTACCTAACAGTAAGTTATATTAATATACATAATATATATTAATATATATTTATGTATATAAAGATATTTTTCACCAAGCTCAACTTAAAGAGTACTACAACTCATTACCACAATTGTGTACTCAAGTGAAGTCTTTAAAGTACCTCTGATTTAATCATAAAGAAACTTCTTTCAAATAATTTCTCTACAATCTCCACTAATTTCGCAACGAGAGATCATACTACTTCGTGGCCACCGTACGCAGAAAGGGAACAAAGGAAATAGAAAATCAAATAAGAATAGCGAAGAACGCAAGAACGGGATAAGGAGCGGCAAACGCAAACAACACAAAGGGTAATGACAATAATTTATTGTAGTCAAGGGTAAATTACGCAATTCTACAAAGAAATGATAAATCGTTGGCGTTTTCTCCGAACAATAAGTACGGAATCACTTAAGAAAGGCAAAGAAAAAAAAAATCAAGCACCAGCGCGCAGAACCGTCCGCCACAAATTTGTAACAAAAAAACGCTTTAATCTATATTAACAGTTTTTGCTTACAATTCAATATACAGAAAAAGAACATAATTCTTCAAATTGATATGCGTGTTTTTACGAACGGTTCTGCGACCACTGCACTCATAATTAAAAGAGTAACGATAATGATAATAATAATGACATAATAATAATTAATGGTAATTAATAATAATAATAATTAATAATAATAATAATAATATCAACGAGTTTGCAAGTAATAATGAACGGTGTATACGAATCATACGTATACATATACCTATCAAATTACATATATATATATATGTGTATGTATATATGTATATATATATAATAACGAGCTAGCTAATAGGTAGTAAACGTGGACAACTTTACAATAAACATACATGAACGCAAAAAAGTAACTGCTACTGGTAAAAGTAAAGGGTAAGACTAATCTGAGACACGGGAGTTTTTCACAAAAAATAGACAAGTGTGCCTCTATGTGTACGCGCATGTGGACAATATACGTGTAGAGAGCAAAAAAAAAAGAAAAGGGAAGGTGTATAATCGTGGAGCAAACGGGGGGGTAGTTTCTTCCAACGACGAGGGGCGGTCGTAACAAAGTAACAAAGTCAACTACAAAATATTCGCGTGACGAGATAAAAAAAAATCAAAGAATAATCGTGGTGTAAAAGGTTCGTAAAAAGTCTACTAGGAAACCTGTCGACACGATCGCATCTCGAGGGATGAAACGGGTCGAAGAGGTTGCCTGTGGAATGACGCGGACCACGTCGACGAGAATCCACTGAAAATTATGCTAACGCGTTGACAAACGGTGATAACAATTACCTATGCATAGCTGTTCTGTTCGTTGCAAAAAATTAATATTAGTATCTCTTTCTTCACATCGGAAATTACATTTGAAAGTCAGATTTTCATCTAGCGAATATTTCTATAAACGTATACATTCTTTTTCTTAAAAATGGAAATTTTTTCCAGTAAATTGATTAACAAAATTAACATTGCAAATAGTTAAAGAACGTTCGCCAACGCGATTGCAAGTTTTAGTCGAACTTCATCGGTGGCTTTCGATCCGGAAAGCCATTGAAGCCTCTGTGGATTCATCGTCGGCGTTCCTTAGAGAATTTCACAAAAGAGCAAAACGTGTACGAGAAGGGTGGATATCCAGCTTCGAGTTACCCTGATCTGTGTGTTTCTTTGTGCGTGTCGTGCTTGAGTTTCATCACGGTCATATACGAACAGCGTGGCATTTGGAGCCTCGAGCAACGGTGTAACACACACGGCTTAAACACGGTCGCGAGTTTGCAAGCTGACGAAAACGATAAACGGAAACGAAAAATGAACAAAGAGATAATCCACGTGGGCGTAGTAGCGTAATCATGGCATAACTTTTTAGCGGAAGATAAACTCAGAATCAGGCAGCTTTATTGCTAATTTTAGAGTAGTATTAAAAGAACAAACTGTTGCGATATTATTTTAATTCACTGCACTTTGTGATCTCATAATCTGTAGAATCATCATAGAACTGTGTGTGAGTTTTACAAAATATTTTTTATTATAAAATTTACATTTGCATTTAAATTTGTTGGATTACTTAAATTTATACATGTAACTGTTTGTCAAGCAAACTAAATACAAAAAGTTAATCTTTCATTTTATACAAAATTACAAGTTCAACAATACAATTACTTCATCAAGTTATTTTAACATAATTTATTTTATAAAAGATAACAAGATCAAGATTAAATAGATGTACAAAGATTAATGTTAAAGATTGTATACATTTTTTATATATTTTATATTTTATAGCACAGTTCTATGAAGATTAATTCAAAATGAACATAAACTCCCTATGAATCACTGATAAACCTAGTTCGTTGTTCTTTCCACAAGTTACTATAAAAATCTCCAAAACAAATTGCAATAACTCCAACCATTGCAATAACAAGATTCTGCATCATTGAGCCTCAAAAATCGAACCCGACTTTGCGATAGAAATTAAAAAGTAATTGCACTTGAATAATTAACTTACACATTAGCACTAAAAGTTGCTTATACTACATATACACATGAAAATTATTCGAAAAATATCTATCATGTCAACAATTAACATTTATATCTTATTCATCAATATAAAGCATCATCATTAGTTCAATAATTATTCAACATCTTTAACGCCACCCACAAAAGATATATTATTCAACTTTTACTTGTTATCGAATTCCTTTTGTTATAACATTGGCGTAACTAAGATTTTGTGGGCCAGGTATTTTTTATGGATTGAGGTTCCATAATAGGTGTTGTGGATTTTGGGAAGTTGAGAGTTGGGAATTTGAGGTGGTGGAGAAGTTTGAGGTGAGGTTTAGATTTTTGGGATTTTGAGAATTTAGGAATTTAGGAATTTGGGAAATTTTAAATTGGAGAAATTGGGAATTTGAGAGATTGGAAATTTGAGAGTTTGGAAATTGGAGGAGTTGGAAATTGGAGAAATTGGGAATTTGAGAGATTGGAAGTTTGAGAAATTGGGAATTTGAGAGATTGGAAATTTGAGAAGTTGGAAGTTTGAGAATTTGGAAATTTGAGAAGTTGGGAATTTGAGAGATTGGAAATTGGAGGAGTTGGAAATTTGAGAGATTGGAAGTTTGAGAAATTGGGAATTTGAGAGATTGCAAATTTGAGAAGTTGGGAATTTGAGAATTTGAAAATTTGAGAAGTTGGAAATTTGAGAATTTGGAAATTGGAGAAGTTGGGAATTTGAGAATTTGGAAATTTGAGAAGTTGGAAATTTGAGAATTTGGAAATTTGAGAAGTTGGGAATTTGAGAAGTTGGAATATATCCCCATCCTGACCCCCAGCTAGTTACGCCACTTTCCCTTCCACGCAAAAGAAAAGCGACCGTTTGTGCAAGAAATTGCGTGAGAACCGTGAGAGGGTAAAAAGAGTGCAGAAGCAAGGGTAAGACGGAACGGTGATCTTCCGAGGTTCCAACAACATGGCTCGTAGAAAAATAGAAAATTTCTGAGCATCACAAAATTATTTACAAGAAGCAAGAACGTTCTCAAGATGGCAGAACTTCCCCAAAAATAATACCATAAAATTTCGATCCTACCCTCTTCTATTCCATACACGCTATAAGACAACAGACAAAAATATAATTTAGCGTTCTTAATTTGCATCGATGGACTGGGGTTTTCCTAACGCGAAGAAAAATGTCACGTGTAGACCGAGATCGCATTTACCGACGAAACGAGTTGACTGGGCAGCAGTCCGAGCCAAATACGACGTACGCAATCGGCGACGTAATAGACGAGATTCCGGGCAGACGAGTCTCTGAAACCACGTCAGAGGAAACTCTTCCAAGAAAACTGTTTGATGGTACCTGCCAACTTCGGAATTTAACACGTACACTGGCCAATGTGTGATCACATTCCTTCGGGAAAATAAATAAGAGTGTGCTGTGGGATTATTTTCGGGAAACGGCGATATAAAGAGAGGAAATGCTTAGTTGTGGATATTGGACGTTTTGAAACTTTGTACAGTACGAGTTCTCAGACTTTTATATTTATAGATTTATAAGTTTATGGAATTTCCACATTTTATATTTCTAAACTTTCAAATCCCCAGTTTTCAAAATTCTGAATTTCTATATTTTATAACTTGTCAAATTTTCAAGGAGTCAAGGTACCAAAAATTTCCACATCCCTAAATTTCTTCAAGATTAAATAGTTGAATCCTCAAATCCTCAATTCCTCCAATCCTCAAATCCTCAAATCCTCACATTCTCACATTCTCACATCCTCAAATCCTCAAAATCCTCTTCTTTACAAATTTCCAAAGCCCTAAATCCCCAAATCCTCAAATCCTCATCTTTAGAAATTTTCCAAGCCCCAAAGCTGCAACTCCCCAAGCCCCCAAACTCCTATATCTTCAAACCTTCAAACCCCAAAACTTGCAGTCTTCCAAACCTCTAAATGACCCAATCTCCAATCGCCATTTTCCCTAGATAATCCCACCGCAATGTACTCTCCAATTCACCCTCAACCTACTCACAACCTAACTACACCTATCCCCCAAAAAATACACTTATCACACCATAAGCTTCAGCAGGACGGACCAACAATTTCAACAGCAACGATATGTCTCGTAAAGCCCTGAAGTTATCGACAATATAAAAATATTTATCCAAGAAGAATCGTAAAGCAACCTGAAAGCATCATACCACTAACCATCCGATCTTACATCCCTAAAACCTGAAGAGCTATCCAATTAGCGAATCTTCTGTGGCGGACGAACCCATCGAATCGCAGTGGATCGACAACGTGAATCGTCCTCGTCAGCTTTGATCGTCGAAGCGGAAATACGCTTTGGTGACGCGACCGAACGTGTTCCCGGTTGCTTCAAGTCCGCGAGCGTACACGCGTTCCTGTATCTTGTCTGTTTGTGTGGTGGGTTTCCGCTAGGCGAGCAGCAACTCACCGCGGTGATGACGCTGCTGTTGTTGCTGTTGTTGTTGCTGTTGTTGCTGATGATGAAGCTGACGGTGATGAGAATGATGGTGATGATGATGATGGTAACCGAGGGACGAGGACGGCGACGGACAGAGACTTCCACCGCCGGCCGACTGCTGCTGTTGGTTATCGTCGCGGGTCGGCGTC